GCCCCCGCACGCGCCCCTCCCCCCCCGCCACGGAAAGCGTTAATTATGGGACTCAGTAATTAATTAAAATAAATTTTTTTTAAAAAATGTTTGGTATCAGGTGGCTCTTTAAAGGTGGGGGATGGGGGGGCACGGGTGGGCAGAAAGGCACCAAAACTGACCTAAAAATACCCCAAAAATGTCCCAAAAATACCCCAAAAGTGCCCAAAAACCACCCCTAAAACTGCCCCAAAAGCATCCCAAAAACTGCCCCAAAAATATCCCAAAAAATCCCAAAAATCACCCTAAAACTGCCCCAAAAATCTCCCCAAAAACATCCCAAAACTGACCCAAAAACACCCCGAAATACCCAAAAAGTGCCCCAAACCCACCACTAAAACTGCCCCAAAACCACCCCAAAAATAGCCCTGAAAAGAATTCCTAAAACTGCCCCAAAATCACTCCAAAAACCCCAAAAATACCCCAAAAGTGCCCAAAAATCACCCCTAAAACTGCCCCAGAAACATTCCAAAAACTGCCCAAAAATCACCCTGACAACTGCTCCAAAAATACCCAAAAACTGCCCCAAAAACCACCCCAAAAGTACCCCAGAAACACCCCCAAAACTGCCCCAAACTACCCCAAAAATCACCCCTAAAACTGCCCCAAAAGCATCCCAAAAACTGCCCCAAAACCACCCGGAAATCAACAAGAAAACCACCCCAAAATTGCCCCAAAATCACCCTTAAAACTGCCCCCAAACCACCCCGAATCTGGCGCCAAAATCATCCCTAAAACTGCCCCGAAAACCTCCCAAAAATACCCAAAAAAATGCCCCAAAACCACCCCAAAACCACCCTGAAAGTTCCCCAGAAAAACCCCAAAACTGCCCCAAAATCCCCCCAAAACACCCCTGGGACCCCCAACCCCCCCAGCTGGGACTGCAACTCATTAACCTGGCCCCGCCCCCTCATTAACATAGCCACGCCCCTCATTAACCCGGCCCCGCCCCCAGATCCCATAACGAGCACGATGGGGGCGGGGCCAAGAGCGCCTTTATTGGGGAGGGGTCCCAGGGGGTCCCGGGGGGTCTCAGGGGGGTTTTGGG